GGGGCACTATGTGTTTCGTTTATAGGTGGAGCAGTGGGCGTGTGACTGCGGTATTGCTTTTTTTTTTCTGGCTCAGTTCAGCCGTCGGGGTGGGAGGGTGCTCGGCTAACGCTGCGGCACATCGTGGAAGATAACGTGCTGTAAGATGTATTCAGTGATTGGATGAGTTTCAGCGATGAGACTGAAGGTGAAGACGCTGGATCGTGGTGACCATCAGCTGGAGCTGGATGACGATGTGAGTGAGCTACTTTCCCCTGCCTTATTCTCTGTTCCACGTTCGTTTCGCTGCGTGATTGCTGCTGCTGCTGCTTTCAGGCAACACTGGGAATGTTGCGGAAGCTCATTGAGGAGAAGGTGGGTGTGGTTGAATCGCGGCAGCGTTTGATCTTCCAGGGGCGACCGCTTCTCTGCAACGACCAGCCGCTCAAGAGTTGCGGAGTTAACGATGGGCTAACTGTGCACATGGTGGAACGCCCGGCCGACGCGTATGTTTTTTCACTGCTCGAACACGCCTAGCAGCGTGCCTGAGTTTGTCCTGCGCTTGCACCAATCAAGTGAGCACAAACTGATTCGGTACCACCGAACATGAGCACTGTCTGATTGCAGCACTTTGCCAGCGGGTTTGCGCACGCATAATTGTGATCACGAGCGCCACAGCCACGGCACTGATGCGCCTCAAAGCGCACCACGATTCTGGACCACTCTGGTTAGCGGTGAATTGGCGATTGTTCGTAATATCATCTTCCGGAACACCAATGAGACTGTGGTAAGTGCTTCGCGTGGTCCCTCGGCACTTCCGTCTCTTCGTTTCTTTCGTTTATTTCAGGCAATGGTGCGCCAGATTCTATCAGACGTTGTGCGAGACACCTCCGAAATTACGCAGACTGAAGTGGAGCCACAGGAAAACGTGCCCGGCAATGGTGATCTGACGTTGCGCATCCGTGTCCGATGTTCGTCTCGTTTCCGACCTATCGATTCGGGTGCACGTACCCGCGTTCAGTTCGCGGTGGACTGCTTGCGTCGAAGCGAGCGTACTTTGCAACTCCTTGAGGTTTGAGACGTTCTCACTTGCAAGTCGCATTACAAGGGCTCATTTGTCCACGTGCTGTTTAGTCCGCAGTTGATGCAGTACAGCTTGGTTCTTTCGTCTTCCAGATCATGAAATTCAAATTCTGTGATGGAAGGTGGACAAGCTTAACACAGCAGAAAACTAGACTCCTTAAGGTAGAATCAGGCTGATCGCTGTGCTGCTAGCGGGATTTGCAGTGAAAGCCATGATTCGGTTCACCCAGTGTGCATGCTGTGGTTGTAGCCAACGGATGGTCAAGATATCCGTCATCTTACTGCGTCTCAGTGCCACTTTTTGTCCAGTTATCTTGATTATGGGTCACGAAAATCTTGCGAAGTTTCAGGCGGAAACGCTTACGCTAGAAAATGTGGAGAACTTCGAATGCATGCCACAAGGGGCGCGAGATGCTTCAACTCTACGATTTGCCGAAACACTTTTGCAGCTAGAGGAACTTCTGCATATCCCCAATTCAGGTACTCCTTCCAATAGTTCCTATGCTTTCTTTTTGTGAGCAGTGTGTAGATACTGGCGAATGTCCTCTCTCTGGTAACCCCGTCTCAACAATCCTTTGCAGCACACATCTTCGGGTGTTTTGACGAGCAGTTTCTTTGTCAGTTGCTGTAAAATCATTTTTTGTGCATTTTGTGCTGTGTAACAGCAGTACAAGACGCATATTGTCAGGAGGTTGTCTGTGCATGTGTGCGTATCCACATCAACTTGTCCGCAACTTTCAACTCGGAAACCACAAAAGCCAGGAAGCTGAAAATTCAGGGGGATGCTCCCTGCGATTTTGTGGGGATGTTCCCTGCCCAAGTGCAACCCAGAAAACTTAAATGCAGCTTTCCCCTGCCCACGTACAACCTTGCAAATCCAGATTCAGCGTTTTCGCGCGCGCAGGCATCATATACGTCCCCGTAAAAGTTTCGGCGGGGAAAATTATTATCTCAGGAACCATGAAAGTTGGGAATCTGAAATTTTAAGACGATTTCTCCTATTAACGTGCGATCTCGCAAATTTGGGTTCAGCCTTCATGCACCGTGGGTACTACGTACGATCCCATAAAGATGTTGGTAGGGGAATTATTATCTCATGAATTGCAAACAATGGAAAGCTGAAATTTTAACGTGGCATCCCCTGCCCACGTCGAACTAATTCTCAACGTCCCCTTGGAAGTTTTGGCAAGAAAGAGCATTATTTTGGGAGCCGGAAGCGTTAGGAGGCTAAAAATTCCAGAAGAATGTTTCCTATCTAAGCAGGGACTTAAGAAACTCGAATAAAGTTCCCAAGTATGCCGAGGTCTCGAGTACGACCACGTGAACGTTTTGTCTCAGAGATCATTCAAAAGCCAGGAAATTAGGAGATGGAAATTTTGGAAGGATATTTACTCTTCGATGTTTCAGATTCCGCTTCCACGTGTTGATGCGTGGAATTTTTGACTTTTTTTCAACATTTCAACTATTTTTACACAGGCCAAAGTACAAAGCAATGAAAATGACTAACAGGCAATTGTTCTATGGACGGAATTGCACAAAACGCATGATCGCACCGGCTATTCTGGTGTGCACTAGTATTTTTTTTTCCAGTTGATAGAAACATGCGCCACCATCAAAGCAGCAAACATTTGAGAGTTATGGGGTACCACCCTCGCATGTAGCGTTTAACGAATAATCGATTTAAATCAAAATTGGAAGTCTGTTCATCGAGATGGTGCGGCATTTTTGCCGCCACTTTCGAGCCCTGCTGGAAACTGAAGTTTGGGAGTAGGCGCCACTTGTTTGCATGGAAATTTGGGAATAGGCGCCACTTGTTTGCAGGGAAGCTGCAAGAAATTTTAATTTATTTGCTATTTTTAATTGACGAAATACGTGGGATTTTGAAAAGCATCATCTATCAGCGCGGCTCAGAGTGTGAGCCGCGTGCATCAAGTGCTACCAGTTGGACACGCTTAAGGCAGTCAAGCCGTCTACAAAACATTACTGACAGAGAGCGCTGGCTAGTTATTGCTGCCCTCTTTTTGATGAGTTTTTGTTTGTGTTGTTTGTGAGTGACTGTGACTTTTTCAGAATTGGGAGAAAACGAAAGTGCAGTAATAATTGGTAAGGCATTTTTATTTTAAAGTAATTTTGTGTGACTAAATTTGCTTTGCAACTGTTTTTGCACAGGCCAAAGTTTTAATGCAGTAGCCCGATATAAGTATGCCTCAGCATCTTGGAATCATTTGCATGTTCGTTTAGATGAAGCGCAGACAGCGAACCCGACGCTCTCTTCAACACGCCAGACTTCGGTGTATATAAGGTTCAAGATTTTTCTCTTATAAGCGCAACTGAAAGTTTTTTTTTTTTTTTTTTTGTTTTGAGTGATTTGGTGTCTCAAGATCTTTGTGTTGTGAGGATTTTCCTGAGCAGTTCCTACTGTACTCTCAGGTAAGTTACCGATGAAGCCGCAGTTGGAAATCATCCTGTATTACATTGTTGTGTTTGCCCATTATCAGTACAGTGGGAAGGAAGTATTTCATTGTCCTGTTTTCAGGAATGCACGCGTAGAGGACTATGTGCGACTTTTGGACAGAGTGAGCATTGTGCAGAAACGTGCAATCAGTCACTTAGGACGTATGCAGAATCTGTATCGTAAAAAAGACGATCTGCGTAATGATGTAAGTGCGCTTATGCAGATCTTATTTGTGGCATTGGAGCATTTTACAGATGCCTGGTTGAACTTGCCGAGAGCACGGGGTTCTGATGGTCGGGGTCGAGAACCTCTGCGGCTGCGATAAAAATATTAGAGAGAAAAAGGGTGAGAAACTTAAAGCCCAGAAGGCGAAGTACGCTGTCTTTTGCACAGGAATTTATAAGAAGCTGACAGAGGGTTTCGATAACTACGTACATCAGTGAAGATTGTAACGGTTCAGAAGAAGCAGACTTTAAAGAAATGCAGAAAGGCATAAAAACAGTGTGGACGCCTGTGCACAGAGCAGACAAATATGGCAAACATATGTTAAAAGTTCCATAATTGGCCAACGCACGGGCTGCCCGTGCGAAGATGCGTTTTTTGCATAGTTCCTCGCAGTTTTTGTTGCTACCGGCACTGGCTTTTTCGGCAAATGCTTCTAGCTAAACAAATTAAGACTGGCCACCAGAACTGTCAGAAAACACTCCTCTGAAATATCAGCTTTCCAGCTTATTTGGCTCTTGAGTTAGCAACTTACTGAAAAAAAAATTTCATGGGCCCGTACGAGTTTAACACGCATACCCGAGAGTTAGGTTTGAGCTCAGTGGAACTTAGTTGGACGGGATATATCCTCCTTAAAATCACAGTCCTTTAGCTTCTGAGGTACTCGAGTTATCAGCTTGCCCGAAAAAAAATTTGGTGGTCCCGTACGCGGGCACCACGCTTATTCGGAGGCTGGGTTTGAGCTCACTAAACCCACTTGGACGGGGAACATACTTCCAAGATTTCAGCGTTCTAGCTTGTCAGATCCCCGAGTTATGAACTTACCCGAAAAAAATTTCGGCGGGCCGGTACGCGGGTACCACGCTTACCCGGGGGCTGGATTTGAGTTCATTAGCACTTGTTTGGACGGGGAACATTCCCATAAAATTTCGGCTTTCTGGCATCTCAGAACCCCGAGTTCTGAATTTACGCGGGAAAAATTTTGGGGGGCCTGTACGCGGGTACCACGCTTACCCGGGGGCTGGATTTGAGTCCATTAGCACTTGTTTGGACGGGGAACATTCCCATAAAATTTCAGCTTTCTAGCATCTCAGAGCCCCGAGTTATGAATTTGCGCGGGAAAAATTTTGGGTGGCCGATACGCGGGTACCACGCCTACCCGGGGGCTGGATTTGAGTTCATTAGCACTTGTTTGGACGGGGAACATTCCCATAAAATTTCAGCTTTCTAGCATCTCAGAACTCCGAGTTATGAATTTGCGCGGGAAAAATTTTGGGGGCCCGTACACGGGTACCACGCTTACCCAGGGGCTGGATTTAAGCCCATTAGCATCTGCTTGGACGGGGAACATTCTCCCAAAATTTCAGCTTTCTAGCATCTCAGAACCCCGAGTTATAAATTTGCGCGGGAAAAATTTT